GCCTTTCGGCTTCGGCATCGGCGGCGGCGAAGGAGTTCCGGGGGCCAACGTGGCGAGCTTCTTGGCAGGAGTTGCGCCCGAAGGCGCCGCGGCGGCCGGGCGCTTCATCACGCCCTTGGGGGCAGGGTTGAGCTTGGAGCTGATGCCATTCAACATGTCATCCACCTTGGCAGACGCGGCCTCGCTTCCGCCAGCAGAGACCTGGAAGGGCACCAATGCCAGGCACTCTTGCCCTGGAAGCGGCGGCGGCGGCGCAGGCGTCGCAGGCGGCGCAGGCGGCAGCGGCGCAATCGCCAGCTGCTGCGGCGCTGATCCTGGGTCGAGGCCCCCAGGCGCGGCAGCGGCGGGCGCAAGCTGCAGCGAGGGCGCCTGCACAGGGGGCGCCTTGCCACTGGGCGGCGAAGTCCACGCCGTCGCCACCTGCGAAGCTGCAGCATGTCCCAGCTCAGCACCTTGGAGGGAGGATTGAACAGGCAGGCAGGCAGGCAGGCAGGAGGAGGAAGAGGAGGAGGAGGAGGAGAAGGAGGAAGAGGAGGAGGAGGAGGAGGAGGAGCTGCAGCAGCAGCAGGATCAGGAGGATGAGGAGCAGGAGCAGGAGCAAGGAGGAGGAGGAGGAGGAGGGCGGGGAGAAGGAGGAGGAGGAGGAGGAGGAGGAGGAGGAGGAGGAGAGGAGAAGGAGAGGAAAGGGGATGAGGAGCTCAGGAGGAGGAGGAGGAGGAGGAGAGAGGAGGGAGGAGGAGGAGGAGGAGGAGGGGAGTAGGAGGACTCCTTCGTCGTCCGTCGTCGTCGTTCTCCTCCTCCTCCTCCTCCTCCTCCTCCTCCTCCTCCTCCTCCTTCCTCCTCCTCCTCCTCCTCCCTCATCCTCCCCCTTCCTCCTCCTCCTCCTTCTTCTCCTCCTCCTCCTCCTCCTCCTCCTCATCCACGCATTTCGAACCCTCGGCACTGCGCCGAGCCCCAGCGCTGCCCACGGGCACGACCATCTGCTGGGCGGGCGCGTTGGCGTCCATCAAGGGAAGCGAGTGGCCCACGACGGCCGGGCAAGACCGTGCCCGAGGCACTGCCAGTGCGCCTCGGCGGGGTGGCGGGGCCCTGACGGCAACGAGGCCGTTCGTGATCCGACGCGGCATGGAATTCTTCATCATCTCGATCAGCTCCGGGCGAAGATCCTCTGGCGGGTCGACGGGAGGGGCTGCGAGATACAGCAGGTTGAACAAGGTAGAATCAGTGCTGACCAACTCCTCTGGGCTTTCAGGGTAGTTGAGGATCAACTGCTCGTGGGCGGGCACGTTGCGACGGATGGTGAACAGGCCCGCCTTGATGGAGTCTCTCCACCAGATGGCGTTCGTCATGCTGTGGTCCCCCTGCGCCCACTGACCTACGGCGCCGAACTTTGCGATGGTGTGTTCTGATGGGAAGAACAAGCGCAGCGAGGTCATCTTGCTGATGATGACGCCGACCGCCTGGTCAGGCGATCCTCGCAGCGCCTGCCACTCGGCTTCGATGAAGTACCTTTCTGGGTAGTCCAAGGTCTGCTTCTTGTCCATTGGCAGGATGGCAGGGGTCTCGGCCGTCCCGGAGACGTCGGCCTTGCTGTTGACTGCCTCGACGATGGCGGCCCTGTCGATTTCAACGAAGGGGCAGATCTCTGTTGCGTTCATGGCTTCCACCACGTCCATAGCAGCCTCCAAAGATATGCTAGAACCAAGAGCATCCAACTGGCGCAGAATAGCATTGCAAGCGTTCCTCGAGATGTATGAGTGCTTGTCGCTGAAAGGCTCGATACCTCCATTGGCGAGGTTGCAACTGATGAACTGGATCCTGGATTTTGCGAAAGCCAGAAACAAGTTGGTGCGCTTGGCAACTGGAGTGGCCGACATCTCGCTTGGATCGCAGTTCACGTGGACGAGCAGTGAACAAAATTGGCAAAGAAGTCTGAGCCAAAAAAGGAACGGTGCGAAGATGGCGAGGGCGATGATGGAACAATCGCACTGGGATCCTGCGCTAGGTCGCTGCTCATGCTCCTGGGGTCCCGAGGTCCAAGGGTCCTGGGCTTGGGCTTTGTCTTCCTATGGAAGAGGCAGGCCTGGTGCTACGTGCTTCCTTTCCTCCTCCTTCACGTCCTTCTCCTCATCTTCGTCCACCTCCTCCTCCTCCTCCTCCTCCTTCTCCCCCCCCTCCTCCCCCTCCTCCTCCTCATCATCCTCATCCTTCTCCTCATCCTCCTGCTATTCCTCCTCCTCCTCCTCTTCATCCTCCCAAGCAGGTGCTTCAAACTGTGGGTGCTCAAAGAGCCAGCTGGGGAGAAGTGGATCGCCCCCGTTGTAACAAATATTGCTGGGCCTTATGATCTGAGGGCTTGCTGCGGCGCTCGAGAGGGGCCCCGCGATTTGAAAACACGGGACGAGGGGGGCGTAGGCAGGTCACAACGGTCTGAGGAATTGGATTGGATATGAGACTTGGTCTGGTTAGGGGAGAGGAGGGGGAGGAGGAGGAGGAGGAGGAGGAGAGGGAGGAGGAGGAGAAGAAGGAGGAGGAGGAGAAAAGGGGAGGATGAGGAGGAGGAGGAGGAGGAGGAGGAGGAGCAGGAGGAGCTCAGGAGGAGGAGGAGGAGAAGGAGGAGGAGGAGTGGGAGAAGGAGGAGGAATAGGTTGCGGTAGCAGCAACAGCATGGACTCACACCATTTCACTGTATCGCTTTCTGGATGCACTGATCACGCAAAAGGTTACGGCGGCAAACCACACGCCGCCGAAGGCTATGAGATTGCGTATACACACATATGGACATAGCCAGGCGTGATTCGAGAGCATCTGAGGGAAACTGGACTGAAAAAAAAAACACTCGGCTGCAACAGCGACAGAATGCTCCTAGTGGATCTGACTGGGAGCCTAAGCTGACGGCCTTCGCGCAACTTCAAGTGTCTACTCACCTGGCAGAGGCGTTCGCACCCCTTGAAGGCCCTCTGGTTGATTTGTCCTGGGAGCTGCTCGACGCCTCAGACCTGCTCGCGACCTGCAGCCGGGGCCTCTGCAGCTTGGGCCTCCTCGAGCTTCTCCTCCTCCTCCTCCTCCTCGAGCATCTCCTCCTCCTCCTCGAGCATCTCCCTGATGCAATTGATCTGGCCCTTCAGCACGTCGATGGTGGGCCCGGCCTGCTGCAAGGCCAACTCGGCATCCTTGATGGCAGCAGCAGCGCAATCGGCATCCTCCAGGGCGAGGTTCAGGTTGGCCACGACCGAGGCGATGAGAGGTTTCATTCCCTGCGCCGAGCTCTGCCACAGGCGCGCAATGGATCTGAACCCCATGATCCAGACTACCCCGGACCCTCTCGGAAGGACATCTGAAAACTAGCTCCAAGGGAAAGGCCAAGGGAAAGGGGGGATGGGCCAGGTCTCCATTGCGTGCTCTGTTGGCGGGGCTGGCACCTGAGCCTTGGAGACGAGCAGTGCGGGCAGCATGTCTTTCACCGACTTCTCGCCAGCTTCCATAATCAAGACGTCGAGCTCCTCAGACTTCCCGTCGCAGGACTTGACGAGCTTGTCGATTTTCTTCACTACGCCCGGCTTGGGCTTCACGATCTTCGGGCCTGTCGGCAACTGCTCCGCGGCCTGACTCTGGCCGCCGTTCTCCTGCTTCTTCCCGCGCCCCTTCTTCCCCTTGGGCTGCGCCTCGCCCTGCTGGTCAGCCTTGCGCTTCGACCCCTTGATCGTCGAGTCTTGGGAAGTACTGATCTCTTCCGTCCTCCTCTTCTCGGTTCTCTGCAGGCTCTTGCTCTGGATGGCGCTGTCCTCGTAAACCGTGACCTGCCGAGTCGGGTGGATGATCGACCTCGCATTCTTGATGATGTTCTTCGCCTGGTCCTCCCGCCCCTTGTATTTCGTGAACAGCTCTGCCTCGTCCATCCACCCTTCGCAGTTGCCGCCGAACTCGTCGATGTTCGAGAGGATGTTGTGCTCTTGCACGACCTGCCTCACTGCTTTCTTCCAATCCTCCCCAGAGAGCGTGTTGAGCATCTCGACATGGGCTGTCTTGACGTCCGACGGAAGTTTGTTCCAATTCTCCGCGAGGTCTGGGTCGGACGTCTTCAAGCGGTTCACCTTGCCACGGAGACTGTTGCAGTCACTGCACCTCCAGGTAGGCTCTCCACTGGCGAGCGCACCTGCTCGCTTGAGCTCCGCACACGGCATGTCCCTCTTGCAGGTCATGCAGGGGAGGCACTCAACAGCCGCAGCAGCAGCCATGGTGATGCGAGGATGCAAATCGGGTTCGCCCGAACAGGAGACTTGCCACAACCACAGGCCCGAAATTTGAGCCAAAAACAGCTGCGGCGGAGGGGAGGACGGGGAGGAGGAGGAGGACTCTGGAAATGGGGGAGGACGGTGCCCCCCCCCCCGGGTGGAAGACAGAGTGGGTTCTGGACACGGCCCACAGCGTTAAGGACGACATTCGGGTTGGCCTTGTGACAATTGCTCGCCAGCCCTTGTGACCGAGGGCAGCCCCTGCGCGCCGCGCCCTTCCCCCTAGGTAGCGGAGCCTCTGCAACGCAACGCAACACAGCGAAACGCAACGCAAAGCAAACGCAACTTGCGGCAACGCAACGCAACGCAACACAGCGCACGTGTAGTTTAATTCGGCACGATCTGCTTTTCATAACTTTTCGTAACTGATCGTAACTTTTCGTAAGTGATTTGTAACTTTCGTAAGTGATTTGTAACTTTTCGTAACTCAACTTAACTTTCGCTAAGTGATTTCTATTTTTGCACATCCGAATTATGACTAGTTAAGTTGAGTTAGCCCAAATCACTTATATGTCGGCGCAAGCGCTTATGAGTGGATATACATCCACGCTAACCTACTTACCAGTTAGGTTCCACTTGCAAGTGGTTGCGCGCTTATAACCCAGCTTGCAACTAGGGTTGGCGGCTTATGACTCGGGTTACAACTGAGGTTATAAGTACGCAACCCCAAAAGCAATGGAAGTGGGGGAGGCCGCCCGCATCAAGGGGGGCCCAAGGCCTCCGCAACCTCTTCGCCGTCATCCCCCTGCACTGCAACGTCGGGGCCCCCCGAGATCTCTACGACAAGTTCGCCGCTGATCTCGCTGACGACTACACGCGCGATCACGACGCTGCTACGGCCGCCAACCACGCCCTGGTCCACTTGCAGTCTCTCCTGGCGCAGGCTTGGGAATCCCAAACCGCTCTCCTCTCCCCCCGAAGGGTAGCCGGGCGAAAGCACGCAGCGAGCGATGCCAGTCTCACTGCACGCCCAGAAGCCTTGCTCGCCAAGGCGCTCCTCCGAATCACTGCCCCCACCTTCTGAACCGTCTCTCCGCTCTCTTTGTGGTCCACCCGACGCCCTCGCTCCTCGGAAACCCACTTTGGAGGCCCCGGAGTCCCCCGCCCGCCCTGCCAGGCCGGCACGACGCTGGAACACTTCAACCTGCCCCCCCCTCCGGTGAGCCTCGCGCCTGAGAAAATCCAGCGGGGCCTTCTCCGAGAGCAGGCGCACGGCCGCTGTGCTTGCGCCCAGAGAGCCTCCGAGGCGCGGCCCCAGATGAACGCAGACCAGGCAGCCGTTTTCGACGCCGTCGCTGCCGCGCTCGCCGATGGCAACGGCACCTGCATATCCCAAAGCTCCGCTCGCCGCCGCCCCCCCGCCCCCTGCGGGGATTTCTGCGCGCGCGAGCTTCTCACGAAGGGCTTGTCCTTCTCCCCCTGCCTCGCCCCACGGTGACCTGGACCTTCGCGCGCGACGAACGCCCTGCCATGCGCCGCCCCCCCCCTCCAGCCCCGCGTACACTCCGCGTCGCAGCGCGTTGAACTCCCATCTCGTGCTCGCCCGGGCCCCAGACAGGACTGGGCAGCGGATTCTTGGACGGGCCTGGCGGCGCGGGGAAGACATTCGCGCATCAGGCGGTCCTCGACCTCGCGCGCGGCAAGGGCGATGTGGCCTTGGCATGCGCCTGGAGCGGCATCGCGGCGCTGCTGCTTGAGGGCGGTCGCACGTGTCACAGCCGTTTCGGTCTGCCCGCGCCTCTGCCGGCTGAGGACGCGCAGAGCAACATTGCCGCCACGTCTGCACGGGCAGAGGCGCTTCGGCGCGCGGCAGTAATCGTGCAGGACGAAGCGCCGATGGCGCCCCGAGAGGCACTGCAATGCGTGGACGACCTCCGGCGCGACTCGATGAACTCGGACGCCCCCTTCGGGGGCAAGATCCTGCTCATGGGCGGCGACTTCCGCCAGGTCCTGCCCGCCATGCCCAAAGCATCCCGCGACGAGATCATATCGCACTCCCTGCAGTACCACCATTTGTGGACTTCGGGCTATGTCCAGGTCCACTCGCTGACAGTCAATATGCGGGCCCGAAGGGACGCGGCGTGGCAAGAGTTCCTCCTGCGAGTTGGAGACGGGACAGAGCCCACGTGCCCACACATCGGCCCCCAGTCCCTGCGCTTACCCGACGACATTGCGATGGCGAGCGACACGCCGCCCACGGAGGCAAGGCTGTCTTCCCCGACCTCGTCGCCCGGAGTGCGAGCTGCGCGCGCCCTGAGCCAGGTGGCACCGCTCGGACCTACTTCTGTGATCGGGCCGTGCTCACCCCCACGAACGCCTCCGCAGACGAACTCAACGACTCTTTGCTAGAACTGTTCGACCAGAGCAGGGTCCGAAGTTACCTCAGCGTCGACGGCATCCTTGCCTCCGACCCTGCAGAGACAGCTCTCTGGCCGACCGATTTTCTCAACTCGTTGCAACCAAACGGGATGCCCCCGCACGAACTACGCCTCGCCCCAGGTTGCCTCATCATGGTCCTGCGGAATCTGAACGCCGAGGACGGCCTCGTTAATGGAGTACGAGCCGTCGTAGTGGAAATGCAGGAGCGCGTCCTGGATGCGCTGTTGGTATCTGGCTCCCACGCCGGCCGGCGTGCATTTATTCCCCGCGTAAAGCTTCCCCCCAGCAACCCAGACCTGCCGTTCGTCCTTGCACGCTTGCAGTTCCCAGTGAAACTGGCCTGGCGCATAACAATCAACAAAGCGCAGGGACAGACACTGAAGCAGGTGGGATTGTACTTGCCGTCCCCGGTGTTTTCACACGGGCAGCTCTATGTGGCGTTTAGCAGAGTAGCAAGCTCATGTTGCATGAAAGTCTTGGTTCCCACGACGGCGCTTCACGGTGCCCGCGATGAGACCGACACTGTCCGAGCAGGGGTGTACACCGAGAACGTCGCGTGGTCGGGGGCGCTGTTGACGCCCGCGACATCGGCCGCCAGCGCAGGCGACGCCGCGAGCACCGCTCCGCGGATTTCGCGCAATCCAGCCGCCCGCACTCCACGAACGCCCCCAAGTGCATCGCGAACCCTATGGCGTGACGCTGGCAATCGCACAGCCGACTGCTCGCCCACCGTGCCCAGTGGACACGTCGGCGCCCATGCGGGCAACGACCACGAGGCCGATGACATCGCAGAACACGGCCCCGCGCCGCCGCAGGACGTCGACGGCAACGCTCGCATCCGACAGCCACGAACCCCGCTGAACGACGCAGGGAATTCGACCGACCGCGTCAGGAAACGACCCCCCGCTGAGTTCGTCGATGAACGCGACGCTGCACCCGACATCACACAGACGGCAGAATGGCCCTTGGAGGGCGACGCCGCAGAGCACGGCCACAACGCCGCAGCAGAACCGACCGGACTCGCGCACCTCAGACCAGCACGACACGTGGGCGCCGCCGAGCCCGACAACGCTTCCGACGCTGCCGCCCTCCACGGCCAGACGGCGCCAGCTGGTGACATGCGAACGCAGACACCCACAACAGGCTCCTCGAGCATTCAGTTACCAGCAATGCCTGCATCTCACGGGGCCCCTCCTGCCGCCAGGTGGCTTTCACCCACTCACCGATCCTTGCCCTCCCCGTCACGGCTAGCCCCGCTACTGGCTTCACCTGCCTGGTACAACAACCCTGGCACGAACGCCGTCACGGATCGTGGAGTCCAGGTCGGATCCGCATGCGGCTTGCATGCATTCAACCACGCGTTGGCGGCAGCCTGCTTCCTGCGGAACGAGCAGTTCAGACCTGTTCCGCGCGACACTTTCGAAGACAACGCGTACAGAGCTAACCTGGGTGACAAGCCCGAGCATTTGATCGATGCGCACGGAAGCAACTACGACGTCGCCGTGCTGTCCAGGAACGCCACTCGCTGCGATGTCGGTACCGTCCCACTCACGCCCACCGACAATGAGGAGCGACTGTTCTCCCCGTTCGACGCTCACCACACAGCGGGTGGGGCTCTCCAAGCCGTGGCATACATCATCCGATTGCCTTCGCATGGGGGACATTGGATTGCCATCCTCCCGGGAGCCCTTCTGCGTGATGCCGCCCAACAGCCGTGCGACGCCATCTTGTGCGACTCCATGTACTGTAGGCCGCATGCCATGAACTTGGACGACCTACGAGCACTCTTGACCATTTGCGCGTTCGAACAGGCTTTCGCCGATGAGCAGCATTCCCTGTGCGAGTGGAGGTGCTTTCTGATGTGCGCTGGCTGAGCGCGCCGTCCGTCGATGCCACGGACGGCCGCGACTTCTGCCTTCTGCGTAGGCCGTGGTGTCCGGACGTCGAAACATAGCTCATGGTGCTCACTGGGGGCATTCGCCACATAGCTCACATCGCCCCCCTCCTCCCCCTCCTCTCCGCCCTCCTCCACTTATGTCTTCCCATCCTCACCGTCATCTTCCTCCTCCTCCTCTTCCTTCTCCTCATCCTCGTCCTCCCCTCTCCCTCCTCCTTCTCCTGCTTCTCCTCCTTCTCCTCCTCATCCTCCTCCTCCTCAAACTCGACATTCCGGTTCATCTGTTATCCGGACCCCCGCAGCTTTCTTGGGCCCTCTGGGGCCTTTCGGAGGGCCCCCGGAGGGCCCCCGGGGGGACCGAGGGCCCCGATGTTTGCGATATTGAAATCTGCCGTTCTGCCCCTCCGCCGCCGCCGCCGCCGTCGTCGTGAGCCTTCTTCTAAGCCTCTTGGGCCAATTTGGAGCCTTTCCCCCCTTCCTCCTCCTGCTCTCTTCCTGCGGTTCCTCCTCCTGTTCCTCCTCCTGCTCCTCCTCCTGCGGTTCGCCCACATTCCCCGTGGGGGGGTGCTTTCGGGGCGCTTCGAGGGAGCGATTGCCGGTAGTTGAGACCGCCACGGCAAACACCGCCCCCCCCCCCTCCCATCAGCTCCGGGGAAACCGACACGGCGAAAACAGCACCCCCCCATGAGCTTTGCGACAGGCATCGACGAAGACACATATACAGAGGTCGTCGGGGGGTGCTTCCCAGGGGCGAACGGCCGGCGGGGGCGGTCTTTTGGCCATCTTGTCGGACGTCCATACAACAAGAGGGGCCCCTCAATTAGCGTTGCCTCTCGGAAGCCACAACAATCGCAGCTGGGTCCCCTCTTGGAGGCCTCTTGGGCCGTCTTGGGGCGATCTTGGAGCTCTCTTGGGCCCCTCTTGGGGCCCTCTTAGGTCATCTTGGAGCCACCTTAAGACCTCGGATGGCTACCGGAAGCGACAAGGCGAACAGGCAGTTCATACCGCCCGTCAGCGCACTCGCGTGCCAACTCGATGATGCATCATACCCTTATGTCCCGCCCGCCCGACTCGATTTGACCCGCCCGTTAGGGGTGAGCCCCTGCAGCCGTCGTCGTAGAGGCTGCCCAGCGCATCCAGAGCCTCCCCAGCGCATCGAAAGCCCGACGACGACGACGACGCCGGCGACGACGACGAGAAGCGGTCTTGGGGCCTCTCGGGGGTAGATTTGGCAGCGCTGGCGGTGGCGACAGCGGCGGCGGCGGCGACGCGCGGATTGGCGTCGTGGTAACGGCGGGTTAGCATCGTGCCAGCGTCCGGTCAGCGCTGAGAGAGCGACCATGGAACAAGTATTGGAGAGGCCTTACGGCTGGTGCCGCCGAACCTGGACGATGACGTCAAGGACGACGACGACGACGACGACGACGACTACGAGCGGTCTAAGGGCCTCTCGGGGGTCGTTTTGGCAGCGCTGGGGGGGCGACCATAGAACAAGTATCCCGCAACTTTTTTGTCCGACAAATGTTGCGGGATACTTGTTCTTAATGTTTCGCTTCTGGCCCGGCCTGGGCCTGCGGCTTCCTGGTTGCGGCAGTCTTGGCGGCCCCAACTTCGAAGCCCCCTCTGGGGCGTCATCGCGGGTTTACGCCGCCGCGTGGAGAACAATAGCGCCCGTCATAAGGTTCCAGGGGCAGTTCGGGCCGGTTCGGGACTGTCAGCAAGCAGCTCCACAGCTTGGCGCCCCCATGGGGGCCGGCGGGTTTTCCTTTAAACAGCGTTGCACTTTGGGGGTCTTCGTTGTAGTCTAAAATTGGGCTTACTTCCCTTGCCCTCCTTAGCCTCCCTTGCCGTCTTACCCCCCTGATCATCCTTCGCCCCCTTGGCCTCCTCAGCCCCCTAGACATCCTGAGCTCCCTCTTATCCCTTGGCTTCGTTAGCCTCCTCAGCCCCCTTAGCCCCCTTACTCTCCTCAGCCTCCTTGGCCTCCTTTGCCTCCCTAGATTATTCGTGCTCCTGTGCCTCCTGAGCCACCTCAGCCGCCGCAGCCTCCCGAACATCACGTAGCTCACACCAAATAGTTGGCGCAATGGCGAACGCAGAGCCTAGCATGCTATAAAACACCGTTTGGGGCCCATGCTGGATAACATAGTTTGTTCCACCCCCACGCCCCTCCCCCTGTTGGGCGCAGCCGTTTTGGGCCCAAGAAGTTTTAGCCACAATGTGCACCCACGCGTTCTGGATTGCCTTCTGGTTGATCCGATGCGCGCGCCAGATGGTGCGCGATTCGCTGCTGCGACAGACTCTGACTAAAGCAGACCTGCCCACTTCTTGGCGCGACATCGGACCCACTCGGCTGCTGATTGACACGGGCGCGGAAGCCATAGAGACGTTATGCCCGCAGGAATTGCGGGCACTCCTGCCGCTCGTTCGGGAGTGGCGCAGCGCGGAGCTTCCGATGGAGGATCTTGAGTCTTACACTGGCAAATCGCGGCCTCGAGGGGCGAAGTCGGTGACAGTCTCTGCGATCGAAGACGAGCCGGTATGCTTCGAGCCCTGCGACAAGACTGGTCGCGCAATCAACGATATACTGTGGCGTTGCCGTCATGAGAGCAGGGACAGCATGGCCCTCCTAGAATTTGTCCGTTCTCCCAAGGTTCTGCGCCTGATCAGCCAGAACTTGGGCATGCTCGCATCCCGGAAGGGCGCGGTTGCTAAGGCTCGGGTGGATGGCAAGGGGGGGGGGGGCTACAGAGGTCGAAGGAAGCGGCCTCGCACGGGCCTCAGGGGCCCCCACAGGGGCCAGGGTTTGTTTAGGGCCCCTGCCTTCACCCCCCTGTCGGTCGCCCCACCTTACCACCCACCCGTAAGGCATGCGCTTTACTCTCATTGCACGAGGGTCACGCGGCTCATCTCCTGGGCCAATCATTCAACCCATGGAACATCCAGTTCTCACGCCTCAGGCGCATGAGCAAGCAGGTCGCCGCGGCAGCTTTCCAAAAGTTTGCCGCTCAGTCTCGGACGTTCGAAAGACAGCTGATTAAGATCGGACACGGCGGCGGCATCGTGAACACTT